GAGCTCTTTGCTGATGCGCCAGGCCCTGTGTACTTGAAGAGGCAGTTATCTTCCCTTAAAAAGCCTTTTATTACCATGGGATGATGCAGGAGGCATGTCACTTACCCTCTTCTAAATTCCTCTTTTGGACTCCATTGTAAAGCTTACCCACACCAGTTTCTGTGTTATATTTTTCTGTTCTTTTTCATCTTCTCCAATTTGTATATTTTTGTAAAGAGGAGGCAATTTTTGCTTTGTTAATAGTTTGCATGATGGGTCCTGTTCCCTGTCCTTCCTTCAGTTGCACTGTTGAGCAATACTAGTCCCATGTTCCTACTCTGGGTACTGCTGTCTTGTGGTATTTATGACTATTTCATGGTGCTTATGGTCACATTCATGGTCACTAATAGAGTAACTGCAGCATAGACCACAGTCTTACTATGGCTTGTCAAATACTTTCTATTTACGGTGATATGAGATCTTTGGTGTAAGTATGGTACTACTTATCATACCAATAAGAGATCCTGACTAACAATATACTACCAGGTAGAAGTAATGTGAGCTTCACAGTCAAAGACTTTCTGCACATTTGTCTCATTGAGGGTACAGCACTACTAAAAGCAGTTCAAATCTGATGTATGGGAAATCCATGGAGCCCAGGGACTGGTAATCTTTCACTGATTGTGTCGTCTTGACAAAGCTTTCATTAAGGAAATGTTAGTGACCTTTCTAGATGGCCTTCACAAGTGGAAAACAATGTGTTTTGTCCCACTGACTCTTCAAGTGGACAAGTGAAACGGCAGCAGGCCAGGTTTGTTAACACATCTCAGTTATGGCTAGTAACGACCCTGACTGCGTTCCAGGGATTGATCATCTTCAAAGGACAGGGTGAAAGAAACATTAGTGTGATCACGACTGGTTTTTGGGGTTTATGGGTTTCTAAATATCTTCAGTGTCCACTAATTAGAAATCTTCTAAATTCATATTGGTTGCTGCCGCTGATGTTATCTCAAGCTTGATGAAAGTTATAAACTGGATCATGCCATGCCTACCAACACCGATGTAAAACATGTACTAGAAGAATTAATAAAGTTGAGCTGAATCTCTGGTTTCTATGCAAACTCAATTTTGGTAATATATTAGCTGTGTTTCAGAAGCCTGCTGTGCTTCAGAAGCATTTGAAATCATCTCTCTAGGACTTGGATACATTTTTCTCAGTTATTTTTTCATAATTGTCACAGATGTTGAAGGCTTTCACAAAATATAGATCTTAATTAGATATTTGGGCAAAAGGCCTTTTCTGAAGTTCACTATTCTAGGGACTATTAGCTAAAGCTGGTATTATCTGGCATGTTTCAAAGGAGCCCAAGAGTTTTAGTGTCTAAATCTCACTTGGATGCTTTTGAACCAGTAACATTTATATTTGTGTTTTAAAAGAAATGGTTTTGGACAAAATTAAAATACATGGGGGAGGGGGGAGAGAAGATTTCCTTGTTTTTACTTGGAGGGCAATTAAAACTACAAAAAAGGAATCAAACCCAATACACCAAGCAACTTCATAATAGACTGGTGAGTTTCTCATTTGTTTTTTGTTACTTTATCGTTATTTTCTAAAAATCAAAAGTGAATAAAAATCAGAAAAATCAAGTTGATACGGGTAAATATTTTTCTTCATTTCAGAAGCAAGATTGCTGATGACAGTTCTACTAATATACATGACACTGTAAATGCTATCCATAATTGCATGTTTCTCAGAACTCCACATAGTCAAAGTCAGCACCCATTTCTCAAATGCAAGTCAACATCTGTATTATGTGATTTGCATGAAGAAGATGGCTTATAGGTACAATTAGACACTCTTTTTTTCATGATTTTTTTTTTTTTCCTAATTACCTGGTCAGCAAGGAAACATAGGAGAAAACAACTGGCTAGTAAATGCTTTTCTTTGTGAGTGTCCTGTTGTTTTAAATGATTCTGTAGTGTGGAATTTTCCTTGTTAAAAACAAGGCTTTTAATAGACACATAATGCAGTTGACTCAAAGAAGCAAAGTTCTTGTTCTGACAGGCAAACTGTCAAGGCAAAAGCAGTATGGTCAGAAACTAGAAACCTGGGAGCAGCTGGAATAAAGGTCTGTTTCTGTCACCAAGCGAGGGAGATGAAATCTCTTGAAATGTGTGTGCTGGGGTTGTATGGTGGGAATCAGGATACATTGGCTTTGCTTTTGGTTTTACCATGGGTCTTTTCTGACCTTGCATAAGCACAAAATGTTTCACCTCTTTCTTGTCTGCACCCATCAAGAAAGGAAATGTGATAATGTCCTGGTTTCAGCTGGGATAGAGCTAATTTTCTTCCTCCTAGCTGGTATAGTCTGTGTTTTAGATTTAGTATGAGAATAATGTTGATAACACAGTGATGTGTTTCTTAGAGAGTTTTGTAATCTTCAGAGAGGTGTGTGTTGGATTTTGGGTTTTTTTGTTTTCAATTCTGCCTTCTCATGGAAGCAGGGCCTATGGGATGATCCTTATTCTATGTGCACATCCTACCTTTTTGAACCCCATGACCTATTTCAGCTAAGTTTTACAAAGAGATATCGATCTCAAATCTGTACAGTTCATATGTGTAGTGTCTCTGAAAAGGGATGCATCAGGGCTACTCTGCATATGATCTGGATTGTTGTACATGTACAAGTTGACTGATGCATTCTAAGCATTTTACTGTACTGTACTTTGGAATTTCATTTGGTATGTAAAAGCTGTGCCATGTCCTGCATTGTAGGTTTGTGCATGTAGAGCTGTCGGGTGCAACCTCCAATGTTGCAAGGTGAATTTTGGCTGAGGGAAAGGCAGAAGAGTGACCTTGCATCTCATCAGAGTATCCATTCAAGAATCAACTTCACTTGAAGGAGATTCCTGCTTGCACTCTCAAGTCAATCAATCATTACTCTCTTATCTATCAGAAGGTGGACTGTATTGATCTTGGTGCTCTCAGAACTATCTCCAAATTGTTAATGGGGTCCTAAATCCCGAAGCCTTAAAATGACATGTTTTAGTAGCTAGATATGAATGTAGTGATGTTTTTTGTTGAGGAAAACCAAATAAGGATCCCGGAATTTGGTGTGAAAATGATGTTGTAATGCTGTAGTAGCAGAGATCCAGGTGAGCGTGTCTGGGGATGGAAGCAAAGGATGTGGAAATGTAGACAAAGCACCTGGTAGAAGAGCTAATTATCACTTCCTAGGCTGGAGCCTCCAAAGATCCTAGGGAAAACCTTAAATGCATTGCTCTGAAATGGTTTACACTTGCTGCTGTGCTGAGACACTTGGTGTCCTGTAGGTATCCAATCATACCATCAGGGAACAGTGAGAATCCAGAGATTGTCATTGTGACTCTTGTCATGGCCAACTTGTGGATCACAGGCTGACGTGTTGAATTCTCTCCTGGTCCAGGAGCAACCGCAGGGAACTGAAGAAAGCCAGCAGTCTAGACACTATTTAAATTTAAAACTCTGCATTCGGTTATTTTCAATTTCAGGTTTTAAGCGATGCTGAATAGTCATGTAGATCTGTTGCTAAGACCTTGAACCTCCTTTTGAGAGGTTCCCAACCTCTCCACTGGGTTTTATAGAATGCAGAAGTTTGGGTGAGTTCAGTGCCCCAATGTACTTACTGTTTGAGATCTTTGTTTAAATCACTGTTCAGGTGACAAATGACAGTGAATTTAAGAGCCTAATTTTAATTTACAGATTTTTTTAAGTCAAGACAGAACAATTATCATTTGATCTCACGCGTATCAGGGAGCATGGCACTCCACAGACATTTCTGCATTGCAGTCATAAGTTCTCTTTGAGACTCAAAGGCTGTAAGCGATAGAGAATCTTCTCAGGACCTTGGTAACTTGTTTTGTTGGCTAATTATCCTCATGGTCAAAGCATAATTGGCATACTTGTCCTTAATTTGTCTAACTCGCAGATCTTGTTAGGCCTTTTTGCTGATGGTAACCCAAGAGATGGAAAGGATTTCGTACTTAAGTTAGCTTTTTGAGGTCCATCAGTCAATGCACTGATATGAATTGTATTGTTTACACTGATTTTTCATATAGAGATGGATTTTGGTTAAAACAGCCCAGATAGATACTTTTGTAGAGAGCCGTTGTAGAAAGAAATGAGAAATATTTTAATGTAATCTGGCTCATTATGGAAAAGGTATCACCCAGTTTTAGATCAGTCTAAATTTGCTGTCATAATTATAATTTTTAAAGTAATTTTTGCTTTTATTTCTTGCCTTTTGTAACCCTGAAATATCATTAATGCATTTTTCCCTGGCCCACTCTCCCTCCCTTCCTTGCAAATTATATATTTACTCTGCGAGTGTGAGAACGCTGTGGTGCCTGAGATCCTGCTAACCTGCAGGACTTTTCCAGTAATTAGATCCATGTTTGCTCCATGGGAGATTCAATTAAAAATGAGAGGGTTTTATTATTATTATTATTATTCCCTACTGAAACCTTGCATTATATTCTTGAGTGTGTATGTGACAGCACTGTAATGAGCAAACTTACTTTACCTAATTTCATCCTCATTCAAACATTATGGGCTCAAAAATTCAACTTGAGTGTTAGCCTAGCCCATCTGTCCTCAGATGAGGATGTGAAAGTAAAAGGGGAAAGACATAGTAGACTACTCATTTGAGTGAACAAAACTAATTTGTATATGTGTGTGAGCTTGGGGAAGAAATGAAGAAAGGAGGGTAGATTATCAAATTGCATTCTCTGAAAGGAAAACATTTTCAAGTTTTTCAAGTATTCAATGTCTTAACAAGAGGTCCCATCCAGTTGCCATCCCACCAGACTGTCATTCTGGGGCGTAAATTTCAGCCTTACACATTAATTCAAGCACAAGTGTGCTCTTTCTTCAGTCTCTGTCTGCTAAGTAGAAACAAACACCTCCTCAAGATAGCACAAGTTGGCATATTTGTTGCTCATGTGATGACCTCTGTATGTTTTGTTTTTTGCTTTTTTTTTAGATAATTGTGATGATGCATTGGTATCTCCTTTACCTTCAACAGCCCTTACCAGTTCCTCTGAGCTCTTCAGTACTCACAGTCCCAGCTTTGCAAAGCTCAACAGGCGAGATGGTAAGGTTGCAGTATGAAATGCTTAAACTATTCTTTTTAATCACATTTACAAAGAATAACTTTTTATGCTGTTTGTATGCAGTGCATTCAGAGCCAAGTTGAATAGAGCCATTAGTGTATGCTTCTGTGAGAGCTCTATTTAGGAGCAATTCCTTCCTTTATGATAGGAAATTTCTATTGAATGTGAAGATCTCCACTTCTCTTGTAGAAACATCCTGAAGGAAGTTCAGATAGTCTTTTTGCTTTTGAAGAGAGTTCCCATAATCTTTAGAGCCTGAAGGTCATTAGGCTTGAAGACCCTATTCCAAAACGTAGGTGTTTGTTAAAGCTAATAGCAACTAGATATTAAAGTTCCAGTGGAATTCAATGATTACACAACTCTGCAGAAATAGTGAAAATAAATGAAAAAACTTTGTAGACATTTGCAACGAGGAATGTTTGAGGCCCGGATAATGAGTTCACACACAAGGTGAAACTATTAGGATCAAACTTGATATCAGAAAAGAGAAGTTGGCAGTATCTAGGACATCATTTGACACTGCGTTGCAAATTTGGGTTGTTGATTCCCAACTCATTCCCAAGTTAGAGCCTCAAAAAGAGGAGAGTGCTGTATTATCACATTACATACGATTTTCATTATTAGAAACACTAGAAAGTGTACTACTAGAAAATAAATGAGAATTTTCCTACTTAAATATAATCTCCGAAACGTCTGTTTTAATCGAACACTGTTTGATAAATCTGCAGAAAGACAGTAAAAGGCTCTCTCTTAGATGCTTGACACTAACAATAAGGAGTTGCTAGGTCGTTAGAGAAGTGTTAGATGGGAGTTACTACATCCTATTTAAACTCCTGAACCAGAGTTCCTCAGCAAGTAAAAGGTGACATGGTAGTTGCTCAACATACAGAAAGTTGTAAACATTGAGCATGATATTTGAGTTTGCCGTGCCTTTGTCTCCAACTGCTAGCTGAGGCAGTGAATAGATGTGCTTACGTGGTTTTGCAAATGACTGTAATGACTAATTTTATCTGCAGAAAAGAGGAAGAGATTCAAAGTCACTATTATTGCAAGACGAGCTCTGGCTGTACTATATTTTAAAGTGATATTAACAATATCTAAAATGAATTGAAAATGATTGCAATTTAAGGGCAGAAAATGAAATAGGTCTTATTTAGCTGTGCTAGAGCAGTTTTGCCATATAGTGGGGTGTAAGGTATTCTAGTTTTTTAGACATACAGTATCGCATCAGTAAGGTCCACACCATCTTTTGGCACAAATCATGGGAACAGGAAGACAGAGTATTGAAACTGAACCCTAAGCAAGGAAGTTGTTTCAGCAACTTTTATTTCATATTTTGAAGGCTTACGTGATAACTGATGAGCTAAGCCCAACACAGGGACCTAGAAGCTAAATTCTACCTTGCTTAATTCTTTTGTTGCACAGACTGTTGTAGAAATGCACAGATGTAGTGCCAGCAGAATTCGTGTTGGTACTTCATCTTGGGTTGGAGGAGCAAGCAGTGGTAGATGGTGGCTAAAGGAACTTTCTTTGGCTGGCACTTGAATGCAAACAGTAGATAACTTTACAAGAAATAATATTCACTAACAAGGACTGTGCCATGGCTTTCTGATAATGTTGGAGTGTTTTGATGAGTTGGCTTAGCTTTGTTTGGAGTTGATAAGACAGTGCTGCAAGTAACAGTGCCTCAAGGTAGAAAGCCAGATAAATGTATTTGTTAATGTAAATATGAATGCAACAGGTGAAGATGAATTTATAAAACACAGTCCAGACCTACATCACTAGAAAGTTCTAATTCATCAAGTTGATTCGGTAATAGATAACAATAACTAAAAGGCTGTTGCTTAAAAAAACGCCTGCAGCAGTGAAATGTGCCGTTAAAAAAAAACCCACACAAACTACCCATGAGTAAAGCTTTGTATGAAATGCTGAAAGCATTCGATTAAAATGCTGTTAAATCTGTACTGGTAATAGTAAACAGTTAGTATAATTCTGATAAATATGATTCTGATGTATGAGGTATATTACTTACCCATGAGAGGGATTAATCAGCTTTGTTGTTTACGGTAAATAAATAATGAAAAAGAATAAGAAAATTACTACAATATGACTGTATCAAGTGAGCTTTTTCAGTTCTCTATTAGCTCTCAGCCTGAGTAGTCACTATAGGCAATTATGTATGGGAATATAAAACATATATAATGTCAAAAAGAATTTGTTTTATGGCCAGAAAGTGTTTGATCTGGGCATTAAAGTAAAACTTTGCAGCAGGGAAGCAGTTAGTTGCGGCAGGAAGTCCAAGAGTTTGTAGCACATTATAAAGCCAGTTGAGCTGTTTGTAAGGCACTGTAGGGTGGAAACAAGCATTCCCTTTGCTTCATATTAATAAACTACAAGCAAGTATGGGCATCCTGAGCAGCCCTGTGGAACGTCAAGGAGCATTGACTGCATAACACCGGGCTTAAGTGTAATTTTTGGAATAATTATGGTAAAATATACAAATGGTCTGAAAAAGAAAAAAAAGTATTTGATTGTATTTCTTGGAGACGTATGGGTCTCCAACTGAGAAACCATCTGATCTTTGTTCTCCTCATATTTCTAGCATTATGATTTGTTGCCATGGAGAATATGAGCAATATATCTCATTCCTGTGGTACCGTTTCTCCACTAGGACATTTTCTCCATACCATGTTGAACCTCTCCCCTGAAATAATCCACAGAAAATGTGAAATGTGTGAACTGTGAGGAATGATGGTGTAGCCTTTTTGCAATGAGCAGAATCCTATCAAGACCAATGGGAACCTGGTGGGCAGAATGGGGAAATTACAATATGATGTCTGAGGGGCATATGAAGTGCCAAGCATGTGTTGACTTTGAGCATCCTCTCTCTCCTTTTTTCTTGTGAGAGAGGCAGTGTGGCATCTTCATACATTAGTACTTTCCAGATTACCTAAAAACAAATGTACAGATCTGGTGGGTGTAATCAGAGCCACATTTTGTCTGTTTTATGTTTATTCCACACTATTAGTAAAAGATTTACAGTCTTCAATTTCCTTGTGGGCAACTGCAGGAAAACAGTGTCAGGGTTATGCCTGTATCTGTTCAAAGGAGTAGATGTCCTGTAAATATTGTGTCTTCAGTAGTCTTTGTTGTTGCCTATTAGAGCCTTTGCATCCTATGTTCTTGTCTCTTGTCCTGGGCCTGCCCTGACAAACGTTCCCCACAGGGTGAACACCACCAGTAGGTAGAGGAACAAATGGCTGTAAAAGAGTTGCTATACTTTGGATGTGCTTTTTGCTACTTATTAAAAAAAGTGTGGGGTGGTTGTGACACACTATAGGGAATGATGTGCATAAAAGAAATGTGCAGACACAGATTGTGCTGGAAAAAGATGCCAATATCCCTTGTGCCACCTGCTCTGTATAACAGAGCAAATATGGAGGAAAAAGAACATTTATTGATTTTTGGCACTCACAGCAGTATTTGGTGAGGATTTGGGATACCCACAAAAGTAAGCAGAAGTTATATGTTTGCTTAATCCTTTACTAGCAGAAGTGAGAGAGGCCCAATGGGAAAAGCTTTAGTTCTGCTCTCAGTCACGCAGTCAATGCGGCTTTGCTGTTGCAGGGATTTTAACTGCCATTCTTACAAGTCAGTAGAATTACTGTCCATCTGTGGAAATGGTAACGGTGGAAGGTTTGGGAGACGAAATACAGCAGTTTTTTTTCCCATGGGAAGGTATATGAAGCAGCTGCTGTTCTGTAAAGTCATGGTCTGTAACTGGTAACATCTCTCTTGCAAGACCAGCTACTGGAGAGGTAATGCTGTGAGCAGGTGTCACTGCTGCGTCATCTAGACTGACATTCCTGGCAGACAAACGTGCTCATGTGAAGAGATACACAGTTCAGAGATGCCATGTAATCTGCAGTTTGAGAGCTCAAGCTCACCACAGATCTCCCAAATTTCCATTCAGTGTGTATTGTTTGTTTGACTTAGAAAATATAAACCTGTTGTGCCATGCTCAAACTGGAAAACAGCAGTGCATAGTAAAGCAAAATACTTTTGTGGAAAGCATATCACCTTTCTGCCACTTCTAGCAGAAGGGAGAGAGCATAAACTACATAGAGTAGTTGTGAGTTATGATGTTTGACAAACTACTGGAAAGTACCTGTGGTAATAAGCTCGGCTTAAGAACTTATATATAAACTAGAACAGAGAAAGCAAAATTTTTTTTTTTTTAATGGGAAACTCATCAAACAAATTAATTGTTATAAGTGATTTTCCTCCATCTAGTTGTCGTTGTTTATGTTATAGAAAGACTGATTGAAGAGACAATGAAGGAAAGATGAAAGTGCCCACCTTTCTTTTAATATTTATTGAAAACATCTAGAATAAGCTCTTCGGAGTGTTGAAGGGAACAACTTTGTGTCACAGACCTGCCAGAACTTCTGAACTGAATTTCTGTGTCCTGCCAGTTCCTGGAATAAAACTGTAAACAAAGCAGCAACTATCATGTTTCAGAGTCTATTTCAGATATTGGATATTAGAATCCAAAGGAAGGTTTCCTTTGGCTCCTGTGTACATTAGTCACAATTCTGTGTAGGAGAAATGTGCAGCTTGCTGTCTTGGAACACAGTTATATAGTTTGTATCTTAAAACCCAGACAGAAATATTCTTTATATGGCATTTAAAATAAAAAAAAAAGGGGGGGGGGCAGAGAAACGTTGTTAGGATTTTTAGCGGAAAGTACTATAGTCTTACCTAAGATATATATCTGTATGGCATTAAAAGAGAGATATGATGTAGTCAGAGAAGAATTGAGTGATGAAATTCCTAATATTCTTGTTAGGTCTTTCATGGCATGCTCGTAGGGGAGAGTATTCTATTTAAGGCAGGTAAAATAATCACAATGACGATGAAGACTTCTGTTGTGATTGAAAAAGGTAAAAATGAAGCATGGCACTAGCAAGCAGTATGCATTAGTTTGGTTACAAACTATTTTCCCTGGAGAGTTCTGGTAGAGAAGTGAAGACTGAGTCATCCAGGGGAGCGGGGATGATACTCAATTCTAGCTATGGAATAAACACGCTGCTGTTTCAGGAATTGGGACTAAATCCTAGCTTAATGAACTGTAAATAATGAAAATTGTAACACCTATTCTCAGACAAAGGAATTTCAAATGTGAGTTGGCAAATCCAATGTGGTCCAGGAAAATCAAAAATTTTTTTAAAGGGCAAAGTTACTGAAATTGACTTCTTTGATATAAGCCACAACTATTGATCTTTCAACTCAGTTCACTTTGATAAACTATTCATGGAGCAGCTTTGAAGACAGATCACTTACTGAGATTAAAATATTAAGGTAAACCCAGCTACTTATAACCAAAGTTTAGTGATGCTTTTTCTTTGGAAATGCATATTTGGAATCATTCTTGTAGTTTACATGAAGAATTCTTAATGCTTTACTCTCAACTCTGTATTTCCCCCTTTCCTTCCCAATGTGATTGTGTTCACTGTAATCACACAGAAGTGTTTTTGTAAACTTCACTAGTAATGGCAAAACATACAAGATGATGGGTTGCAGAAGCAGTAGCAGCCTGAAAATTTGCTGCTTTGGATACTTTGTTAATGGCTTCTGCTTTCTTCATAGCTGCATTGTTCACGTATTTGTAAGGCTGAAGTGAATGCTGGGTGTATACAGAGAATAAATGTGTGCAAGTAGAAACAAGTTAAAAAAAAAACCCAACATAACCTATAATTTAAGGGTGTAAAAGACAGCAAGAAAACATAAAATAATATATTCCAGTCTGGAAGGATTTGCTTTTTTAACCATAAGTTCACATTTTTTGTAATGAGTGAAGTGGTGAAATTCTGTGTTTCATTGGCTTGGCATTAACCATGAGCTTGTTTAACCTCGAAAAGAATTCAAGGGATAGCACATACCTTTTCTTTTAAAGGACAAACATGAGTTACAAGCCATCAGCTTCCATGTGATCATGACTTCTGAAGTCTCCATTCCTGAATGGAGAAGTGGATCATAGAAGTTGATAATTTGCAACTTGTGTTTGTCCTTATGAAGGTCTTGTTTGTTCTTTTGTTTAAGAAAAAATACATGTTCACTTAACAAGCATCTTGTGTAAGGAAGAGGCTGCTTTCCAGTGTGAAGGCAGTCCTTTTAGTTGCTCAATCAAATGGTCTCTAGCTTTACAACATATTATCTGAAGTGCATTTATAATCTGTAATTAAACTGTTCTTTCAAATACCTAATAGGGTGCAAATCAAGATAACTAACATGTTTGCATGTCTTTCAAAACATAACAAAAAAGAAAATGTCAAAGCAAATTAGAAGTTAAAAATCAGCATTCCCAGATTTGCTCAAGCACGCGAGGAGGGAATAGATAACTTTTTTTTTTTTTGACTGAGGATCTGCCAACCTCACTGACATTTGTCCTGCTGATAAAGAATAGATTTCCTTAAAATTTCTTAGAAATTCAAAAATCTTTTTTAACTTTAGGTTAATTAAGAAAACCAAAAATATGAACAAATAACTGTATGTTCAGGAAGTAGACTCCTCTGTGATGACCTGAAATAACAACACGGTTCTTTCTCAAGTATAATTTCTTGTGCTGTCATTGTCATCTAAATTATCTTTACCCAATCTCTTTCAGGAGCTGGTGGCTGGTCCCCGCTGGACTCAAATGAGCAGCAGTGGCTCCAGGTTGATCTGGGAGACAGAGTGGAGATTGTCGCAGTTGCTACCCAGGGCAGGTACGGGAGCTCAGACTGGGTAACCAGCTATACTCTGATGTTCAGCGACACCGGCCGCAACTGGAAACAGTACAGACAAGACGACACCATCTGGGTAGGTCTGAACTGTGGGTGCCTTTGGCCCCAGATCTTTCTGGTTCAGGCTCATTTTGGCATTTGGAGAAACAGCTTCGGTTTCAGGTCAGAGGAGCACTGTAATGGAGAGAGAGCAGACCTGAGTGAGTCTGAGATAAGTGTTTTGATCTAAATGGGTTATGTCCCCGACTGCCTGTGTAATACAAGTTTAGGCCCTCAGGACTACACTGTTTTTCAGACTATGAGGATGCTCAGGGCACTCAAAATGACCTGCACGCTTCTGTGCCTGGTTGACTTTGATTCAGGCACACCAGGGTAAATGGGGCTAAACACCTACATACTTTCTCCAGGAAATACGGAAATTAACTCTGTGTCTTATGCATGCTTGCTGGCCAGAACAACAGAGCTCATGCTGGGGGAGGTGGGTGGTAAATTGCTCCTTGGCTGGAGAAGGCTGGAGCTGCAGCATGAATTGTGGGATGATTTAGCAGATACACTAAAAGTGCTCAAGGCTTTCCCTAAATTTTAATGCAGACTTGACGCTTGCTGTGTCACAAGTTCAATGTGTGACCATGCCAGGTGCTGGCAGTAGGACTGCAATGCCACCTCAGGTGTGGATGGAGAAGTTTAAAAGTCTTCCTTTCATATGGAAAATGTGAATTGTTAGTGAACTGTTAATGAATGGTAGCATCCTCTTTGTGCTATATTCTCTATTTCTGAGGATCAATAGCCTTGGTAGCATGACAGTATGTAGTGGTAAATGAAACATATTCTTCATGAAAATAAAAGGGAACGTTTTAAGGGTGATCAAGTAGACTTTTTGCCTTAAGTTTTTCTTTGGTTAACATCTTGGTTAAATGCTGTGTCTCAAAAGCAGATTTCGCTTCTAGAACATAATGATTGTGAATGAGGAGAGTTGTGGTGCAGCAGGAAGAGGGGAGAAGGGCTGCTTACTTTTTTCCTGAGCATGTTGCAGGCAGTAGGGCTGCATGTACAGGGAAATTAACTTCTGCGGTTTTAAAATCCATTGCATTGCCACTGTCTTTGTTTTATCATGGTTTGATTTAGGAAAAGCTAATGAAATCCTTCTTCCTTTAGAAAGGCAACTTTGGCCCAAAGATGGTCACAAAGTTGTCAAGTGTGGCTCTGCTTCACTTGTCACTTATAAAGTTATATTAGGCTGAGTCTGGCTTTGCTCCAGATACTTGTACCTTCATTTTTTTTTTTTTTTTTTTAATGTTTAAAAACAGTGGAATTTCATTCTGGACTGAATGTAGTGATCATTTAATCTGGCTCTCGACTTCTACCCTTGGGACTCAGAAATCCAGAACTGAGATATTTTTACAGACTTGCTGTCATTAAGTGCTTCCTTCCCTGAAAATATTATGTGCCTTGTTAAAATTTTATATTAAGACAAATTAGTTTTTTATTACATGTCTAACTTTTCAGTCCTTTCCTTTTTGGAAACCCTTGACCTTTTATTTTCTTTTGTAATTTTTTCTTCTTAAAGGGAAACTTGAAAAGACAACATGTAGAATTTACTATACCAAATCTTCATGCCCTAAGGATCCAATTCTGTCAGTTTCTGATCTGGCACCTAATATTGCGCACAAGAATAAGAACAAGCCTAGCAGGCATTTGACAGTGAATTAGGATTTATGAAGAACCTGAACTCTCTTGTTTTACTAAGTGATCAGGCATGAAGGTGATTCGGAGCAGACCCTGACACAAGTTCTAAAGCTTCAGTAGATCTGGAAGTGTGCTTTCTGGAGGGGGAATTTTTATATGCTTTTTAATGGAAACCATCATAGGCTACAGAGGATAGTTTTGTATATAATTGAGAAAAAACGAAATAGAATTTGGATGTGGAAAAGGTAACACTGTGGGAAGTATTTGGATATTCTTCCCCTCACATTAGTTTCTACAAGTCACACTGTCCATGTGAGCCAGTAATGTAATTCCAGTCCAGAAGAACAATTTGCTTCACGTCCCCAGGCAGAGGGCTTGAAGGGATTGTTAGGATGCATTGCCAGACTTTGCTGCTGGAATATCCAGTGAAAATCCAAAGTGGCCTCATTTGACATTTCATTAGACTCTACAGTCCACCTAAACTGGCAAGTCTCATTAACACCTAGGAGCTTGTATGCCTGCCCATGGAATTAATGAAGATCAAGAATTACTTCCGTACAATTTTTATTCTAACTAAAGAGAAAGTTGATTCTTTTTTTCCCCTACACTTTTGGATTTGTTTCACTGAATTAAATTAGATCTTGAGAGCCATTCAGAGCACAAAGAGGAAAGCCAAACAGGCTTTCAGAAGCATGTATAGAATTATAATTTCAAATTTTGCAGTGTTTCTGTTTTATTGGCAGTAATCCTTTCCTTAGGCTTTTTTCTAACTAAAAAGAAAAATAGAAGTGTGCTGTCCAGCTGTATGTTAAAGATTTCTCTATAAATGGCAGACCCTTGGATGAAACAAGGACAAGCATACCATGGTGCTTGTCCTAAACATCTGGCTGTTAAATAGCTGTAAGGGAAGCTCTGCATTGTGCACCTCTAGGGAAAAAATGTCACCCTTGACTTAAGGGAAGACAGTGGAGTGGACCATTTCACAGGGATAGGAAAGCAGCCCCCCAGGGTAGCCTCCACTGTCACAATCTGTGACAGTGTACACTGTACCAATCTGTCACAAGATTGGTAGTTTCAACCTTAGGAATCTGTATCCCATTCTTTTTTTGGGGTGGGCAGGGTGGTCTGTCAGAGCAGGAGTCAAGGTAGGAGTCTCCTATGTCAGGGCAAGGTGGTAAGCTACCAGGTGTCGTGGATGGAAAGTGAGACTGCACTTCACTTGTAAGAGAGAAGCAGCAATACACTTTATTGATATAAAACAGTGAGTTAGAGCTCAATGGTAAATAAGACAGTGATTTAACATGATTCGATGGCAAGGTACACTTGATTATTTACTGCATAGAGGACAAGGTCAGACAAAACTGTCAGGGAGACCCTCCCGTTGAGCCATGAGGTTCAGAAAGGACCCTCTTGCTTTCTAGACTCGTTCTCAGAGAGGAGTCTGGGTATGGCTGGATCCAAACCTAGTCACAGACTTGGTCAACGGTTTATGTCTAAAGGATTATATATGTGCAGTTCATCCTTTATATCACTTAGCTAAGATTTCAAAGTTTAGCATGCTATTAGTCACTTACCGAGGATCTGTTGTGGCAAGGAATCTCTCAGCCTCGAGGAGTAACCTTGAGAGGCGTCCCTACTCAAGGGGACATCCCGCCGTGTAGCCCGCTGCTATGCAGGAGAGCTTAAAGGGCTCTTGGGCTGCTCACTATTTATGGGGGTAAGTTGATTGACTCATAGTCATATTTGCATACTGATAACTGTGGTTAGGTGGGCGTATTTCTCACAATAACCCTTGGTTATTGTGTTGTTATCTGACTCCCTAATCCACTTTGAATGGACGCAGCTATCACTATCAGCATCCATTAGCGATCACCCCTGGTAGTTATCGCTTGAGCAGGATTACAGGAGATAAAGGTCAGGTTAGGCGGGGGAGCACACTGTCACACCAGGTTACCTCTCATCCACAGGGAGTGAAAGGGTTAAAATCTAGGTTATTGTGGAAAATGGCCACTTCAGAAATCTCAGGTGGTCAGGTGGGAAACATCCCCCCTGCAGGCTTTACCTTTGAAGTTTTTTTTCCTCTGTCCTTAGGATAGGAATTTAGTACTCTCTATGTCCCTCAGGACTTTGAGCTTTTTAAGATTTCCTTTTTGAATTCTTGTGTATAGCCTTTTGGCTAGAAGTTTACCTACTTTATTGCTTTTTGTTTCAGAAAGCTGTGCTGTTCCTAACTTAAGAGGTGGTCAACACTAACTCATAGCTCAGATGGGGCTGGAATCTAAATCATTATTGCCTAGAGATCATTAGATGATGTCTGCTGTATCAATATAAAATATTGATATGCACTGGACCTGTCAGGTTCACTGATACAGCTTCTACTTTAGTAAAACTAACTGGAAGTTTGTGCTTTGCTGTATGGATATTATTGAATGTGTCACACCAATTGCTCATAGGTGACAACTTATGATTCATTTGCAGCTGTTGAAAGGGGAGATTATGTATCAGTATAAGGGACCTAGATAGTCTGGTGAATTTTTTTGTTTCTTTTCTGAAGGCAATATAACTATGTGGAGAACCATTTGACAGAATACTGAGTTGCTGAAAAGAAGGGTGTAAGAAATACCTGGGTTTCAAGGCAAGCATTTGATTTCAAGTAGAAATTTGAGGTTTCACTTTGTTTTAATCTATTTGCATTCCAGCAAAGGAAAACAGGTCTTGACATTTCTTCTCCACTATGTCTGTTAAACTAAAACTGGCAGAAATCCTTAATCTCTACTCAACACAAGTCAGATTAGAATGCAATTTCTCCGAGCCATCTGCATGACCCAGAGACAAAGTTACGGGGTATTTCCAGCTGTCTGTACCAGAGGGCTCTCTTGGAGGAGCATGTACTGGCACAGCCTTTCCCCACTGCAAGTCGTGGGCCATTGGCCACATTTGGTGGAAATAGCAGGAAGACAATAGCACCTTTCATACTCCCTGAGTAAATCTGCCCGGATGAAACTTTTCCTAATCATGTGTTCACAAGTGTCTGATGCTCCATATTGCAAGTGGCACTCCTGAGGAGTTGTTTCCAGCCATCTGGGTACAGGTTTTGTCCACCTATATGGCATACATGTCCTTTAGTGCATCTGAGACATAGGTACATAAATTCTTCATTGGGTTGCTGATAAGACAGACGTTTGCAAACCAGTATATATGACATATCACTAGTAAAAGTCCCTTTCTCTTTATAGAGATTACAAGGCTTATTATCCTCCTCTCACGGCATGCATACAGCTCCCATCAACTTCCCCGTTAATGAGCACTGCATAGACAGATCGCGAGGAGAATCAGAAAACCTCTTACATTTTCACTCAGCCTGTGTTTATGATGTTAGTAAATTCTGCA